GAATTTCCATAAAATTAATCAAGATCAACTTAAACTTAAAACAATCAAAAACTCTCAAAGATTGGACAGCAGTTCCCCTTAATTTGTCTGTTTTTCCCTCCTACACTCAACACCATATTCCATCTCAAACCAACCACAATTGCACATATAACTCACAAGCTAATTAACACACCTAATTAGGGTCTTAATACCCTTCAATTTGAGCCAATTAATAGCTCCAAGATCATTCACAATTAAGCCCCAATTCGAAACCCTAACTCTAAAATTTTCCGTACAAACTGAAATTTTTCGCAAACAACCACACCCAACATATAAAAGCTTCATTTTACACCATATCAAGCCATCATTCCATGGCCAACCAATAATTATCATATGAGAGCAGAAAATTCACCAATAAATCTGAAATTTGGCTAACTCCACCTCAAACCATAAAATCTTCCATAAAATAGGTTGTCTAGCCACTACAACTACTACTATACAATTATCAAGAACAAAAGGAAATTTCTAGTTGAGTTACCTTGGACCCTTAGGAAAGATGGTAGCTTAGGGTTTCTTCTACAAAAATCACTCCACCAAGACCTTCATTCCTCTTTAGTGTACACTTGTACGGAGTAGTTTGTGATTTCACCGGTTAAAACTCAAGATTTGGGCAAGGATTGAAGCTAGAAAATGAAGAACTTTTTCTCTCTTTTCCTCTCTATGAGGTACGGCCAAGAAGGAGCAAGAATGGAAGATATTTCAGCCAAGAAACAAGATAAGAATGAAGGAAAACAGCCAGTCAAACTTGGTTGCCGCCTGTGACACGTCACAATCCAACCAGAATCTGGCCGGATTCAAGGCAGTGGCGAAACTTATTTTTTTTCAAATTCCAACAACAATCCGGCCAGCAATCCGACCAAGAACTGGCCGGATTCGGTACAAAATTTTGCCTCCAAGAAATTTTCTTTTTTTTCCCAAATTCAAACGACACGCTCGTCCGTTTTTCCAACAAAGAGACCTACATCCTCACACTCATTCTTTCGGGGCGTCACAGAAAGCTTGGAAGATAGGTGAGAGTAGGCCACTGCTTGAGTCTGCTTCTACTTTGGAAAAACAATGCCGTCAACACTATTGTCACAAAACATCTGAGGAGAAAGGTTTTGGGAAGAAACTACTTTTGGCTTTACATTCGAGAAGACACTTATGGAACCACATCTTTTAGAAGACACTAGAGAAGAAGGGGGGATTTGTGTGAGAACCCGGAAAAAAATTCTTTATTTTAGGCATTATTTTATTCCTTTGCACCCGTTTTCTATATTTTCTTTATTATATTAATTTTATAGATATTTTTATTAGTAAATTTAATTTTTAAATCATTTTTCTAGTATAAGTTAGTTCATGAGAAATTAGGAGTGTATATTGGACGTGAGACCCGCTAGTGCGTTAAGTGAGAGAAATTCGGCCAATTAGGTTAAGTTGTGCATAAAGCGATTTAATTACTAGGTGTTAGGAGATGATTAGAGGTTACCTAGATGGATTAACCATGGGGAGACAAGAAGATAGCCTTAAGCATAAAAGGTGCCACGTGTCACTTTCCTATTCGAACTTGGACTTTGACTAACTTTCTTTACCTTTACTAAAACCTCAATTTTGACCTAAAAATTATCTTCATTCAAATCCTCTTGGCCGAACCTCTTGAGGAGAGAAAAGAGAGAAAGTTTTAACTTTTATCTTCCATTTCTTGCTTATATCTTGAAATCCAACTGATTAAATCTTGAATTTGTCCACAAAAGTGACTTGCTAAGGGAGTTTCAAGGTATTGGTGGAGTTGTTTTGGAGGAGGAACCCCTAAGCTATTACCTTTCTTGAGGTGTCAAGATATTTTGCTTGGAAACTCACTTTTTGTTCCTAATAATGGTAAATTAGTGACTTCTTGTGGCTAAATAGGTTGTTTTATGGAAGATTTCATGGATTAAAGTGGAGTTAGGTAAATTTCTGATTTTTTTGGGGATTTTTCTGTTTTCATATGATGGTTATGGTTGGCCTTGGATTGATAGCTCTAACTTGTGTTAAATGGAGCTCTTGTGTATTAGTTGTAGTTGTTTGCGAAAAATTTCAGAATTTGTGCGAAAATTTCAGTTATAGGGTTTCCAATCTGCCCTGTTCTGACCAGCTTTATTCGTGCAGGTTAGAGGCCGAATCAGGCTTAGGTTAAAACATAAAAATTGTAGAAAATGGTGTTAACTAGCTGTCTACAAAATTTCAGCTCGATCCGAGACTGTAGCATGTGAAATGACCGAAATACCCTTGACTGCCCATGAGCCCTGTTTCGCAGACAGATTTCTGTTTTCGTGGAGATTTCCATTTTTTACTCCGAAAATGCATGTTTGAATGTCTTTGCCGATTGTTTATTTTGTACGAGATGAGTGTGTACTTTATCACACTCATTCTCTGGCCTGTGTGACTTGTTTCCTGTATATACTTGAATTTATTACCTGCGCCTGTTATACTGTCGTTTGGAAGTGTATCCAACGACCTTCCTGTTAAATCTGAGGTCAATCTCATGGGGGGTTAATTGAATCGAGTCGGCAAGGGCTTGGTCGAGGAAATTGACAATCCATGGGTGCCTGTTCCTGGGGAATCTATGGGTATTGGAGATTCTGGATTTCCGGTATATTCGAGTATTACCATTCCTGTTCCTGTTTGGCGTTCGGGCCCGGTAAGAGGTATGTTTGGTGAACGGGATTTTGGCGTAAGTGGGGTCTACGGATATGTGTGTTCCATTAAATGTTGACGAAGGGTCAACGAGGGTGAGATCAAGTATTGCAACGAGAAGTTGGCTCCTGAGAGCCACCTGTATCCTTTAATTTGTGGTGTTCATTCATTTCTCGTATTTGATGTGTATATGTGCCCTAAACGTGATTCCTCATGATTTCTACTGTTTATACTTTTGGTACCTCACTGAGCTTCTAGCTCACCCCGTTCCGTTATCCTTATTTTCCTTACAGGGAACAATCTTTGAAACTTCGATGTTTTGAAGAATGAGTTAGGCTAGTTAGAAATTCTTTTGTTCTTTTGGTATAGCTCCTCGACAAGTTGGAAACCCTAAATGTATCTTAATACAATGTTTCCTTTCGGCTTGTAAACTTACTAATATGTATATTTTAAAGAGTTTCCTCATGTTTATGTAGCATATATATTTGGGAATGTACATTCTCTCATGTTAGACAAAGTTTACTTGTTTTTGGTTGGATTGTGATGTGGCAGTCACTGTTCATCTGCGGCTTGTTTTTGTTCTTCATTTTGTTTTTTTCGGTCGTTGTAGCGCTCGAGCACTGTATTATCTTTCGGAACAAGTATTTCAGGGTGTGATTAGCTTAGTAATCCTGGTGGCACTTCTATTTCGTTTTGATTTTTTTTTTCGTGGGAACGTTGTACCAAAGATTGACTGTATCTTTTAGTTCAACTCAATTGGGTTCTGAATGTTTACCTTCTCGAAGTTCCTTTGAGCGTTTGGTAGGATTTCCGTTTGTTCCAGATCCGTAGTCCCGGCGAGAGATGGGCAGGCAGTCCGCCGAACCCTTTGGTTCGCCTTAGGGTGAGGTGGGGCTGTCACAATTTGGGGATGGAAAATAGAGAAAATTGGGGTGGTGCAAGAGAAATTGATGAACTTGGGGTATTTTTTGTAGCAAAACTTCCTCATTTGTATTGACGCTAAGGTTACATCGTGTGTATTGGAAAAACCAAACCGTTGATCTCATTACATTCAACGGCTAAAATTTATCATGTAGCTGTTCAAAAATTGGAAAAAATTTCAGCCAAGTTTAAAATCTGACCATTGATTGCACTTGATCAACGGCCAATCTCGTTCATCGCATCCATTTTTGGATGCGGCAATGTCTGACACCTCATTTTAGAAAATTTTTTTATATGTTGATTTTCTTACTTGCAGCGACATAATTCAAAAAAAATTCTACAAATTTAAAACCCAATTGTTGATCACATTTGATCAATGGTCAATTACGTTTCGCTGCATCCATTTTCGGATGCGGCATTCTGACACATCCATTTGCGGCAACTGGAAGCATTTAACAAAAAAATTCCCTAAGCTGTGTCTAGCCCAAAAAAAAAAAAAAGCAAAAACAAATTGAAATTTTGTACGCCAAATTTCTCAATTGCTGCGACCCTTATTTCAGAATCCACTCCCTTCGAACACCGGTTTTTTGATGTTTTGATATATCAACAATATATCAAGAAATTCGCCCATTTCATGAGCTGAAAAATGGTGAACTTTGTTAGTTTAATCATCAAGTTGTTCTGGGTTTATCCGCATGTGAAAATACCTGAATGAAATGGGTGTTTATTATTTTGATAAGCACATTGATGGTAAAAGAGTGTCTCTTGTTTTGAATTTGTTTTTTGAATTATAGAAGTTCGGTTGGGTGTCCAAATGGATTTATGGCTCCATCGTTGGTCTAGAAATTAGGTCAGCTTGGATGTCATCAAAGTGCTAGGAAATTTCGTCGCCAAGGTGAACTGATTTTTCACCTCTTTCAATCTCTCGGGGTTTCTCATTGTCCCAGTTCTTTTTTGGACATTTTTGCCCATCGAAGAATATTTGTCCGATTGAAAGGCCCCTTCAAACTGTTGTTTTATCGGGTAGAAATTGGCGGAATGACTTCTTTGGTTGAATTTTTCCAGATCAATGACCTTTCTAACCATGAAAAATATTTAATAACTAACTCGTGCCATTCACCAAATACTTGGTAGGTCATACGCAGAAGTGGTTCCCAAAGAACCGGCTTGAAAACCCTCGGTAACCAGTTGGTTAACCAGATTTCTTGTTGCCATACATCTTATAAGACCACATTTGCCATGGGAAAATGAAAGAGTAAATTAGAGAACATTTATCTGTCACACTAGCAACCTATCAGTCACAAGCTTTGGAGATCCTCAATAAAATCCAATCCTAGCGTGGATGCCCTCCATAAATTTTGGAGAGAGGGCAGTTGAGGAACAGATGAAAATCAGTTTCAACAGCTACATTTAATTAGTAACAAACAGGAACAATTAATAAGAATGCACCTATCAAACAAATTACCACTAATCTGGCAACCTGGACCAAAAAATACCAAATTTAGCATTTGAACCAGAGGGGAATAGGTAGTGACAAGATAAATTTACCCACAGATGGAAGGACTTGAGATGTTGGCATTGACTAGAAGACAGTAAGCAGTCCTCTGCAATGTGATATCCAGGATTGACAGAATACTTACAACGAGCGTCAATCTTCCATCAAGTCCATCAGGGATACTGCAAATGAAAGTAAATGAATAGCTACAACTTTTTGTACTGCATCTGTGGGTAAGAAAAGATTCAGTACAAATTCAGCAAACTCATGCACCATGACCTATTATCATGTATGACATTCACCACTTTCAAGGAACTGAAAATGCATGCCACCTGAGGACACCTAAATGGATTATTGATCCCACAGATCCACTGAGTTGTATACTAAATTGAGCTGCATTACCAACGTTACCACAGAGAACTTGCAAGAAAAACCATCTCATGCACTGGTGAAGGCTTGGCTTCAAGATCATAGTCAGTCTGCAAGCTAAACATGTCCAGTAGCAAAACATCCCTCAAAAGCATTGTTTTACACCTGGACTGGGAATGGAAGGTGTTCTCTAAGGTCTTGGCTGTGGAGTACAGAGCAGAGACTGAGATTCATTTAGCCAGGTGTCATAGTAGTTCATAAATGATCAACCACAAAGGAAACCACAGCGTCCAGTTCTAGAGATGGTGCTCTGAATGAGTACACACTTCAGCAAAATGTATGGTTGAGATTGCACAAATTAACCCCCATAGGCTCTGCTGAGATAAAGGTTAGCAGACCAAAAGATGATTCTACAAAGCAACTGAGACTAATCAAAGAGCAGAGACTGCTTCTGTTACCAAAAAACCTCTTTGAAAAGAATAAGACAAGGCAGGAGGGTAGCTTTGTGGTGATGAATAATTAGCTTTCTTAATCACATACATACAGATGGTATGCACAATAATATACTTATCTCAAGGTTCTAAAAACTAGACTATGCATGTTTTACATTTACTAACATTATTGTTGTCACAATATATTATCCTAATTATATCTTACGTTACACCTTGTACAGGTGGTGCAGCAGCTGTGCAGTGTTCAGAAAAGTAACAACCTTATCAAAGCCTACTACTAAGAGTGCATAATTTAACAAAAAGCTTTAGGGCAGACAGAGTATCCATAATAGGTAATTATGTCAAGCGGTGTTTATCGTCAATTATTGAACAATTTGTTTTCTTGAGTTCTATAGATTGAGAGTATAACTGTAATTTCAGAAAAATACAGAATAACGTCCCTATTGAGTCAACTTAGTCCTCAATTTCTTAGCTATTGTATTAGCTTAAATACTAAGTCTCCTTAGCCATAAGGTTCTACAATAACCTTGAAGCAGTCAGAGCTCCAGGATTATGTTATTGTGTGTGGTGGTTCAATGGAGTGTATTGTGATGAGTTGCATTTCTCAACAAAATTGATAAAATCTAAAATCTATCTTCCTCTTCTTCTATCAAGGAACCCGGTAGGTGCAGAGAGGGGGAAGGGGGATTCCATCCTATTATCATTCATCCGGTCATCTTGTTCAGGAAAAATCAACAAATAAGAATTTGAACATCTATTATGCATCCAACCTGGTTTGGTGCTGCATGAAAGAGCGCGCTTCTATTTCAAATCCAAAGTTTATAGAACCTTCCCATATATTTATTCAAGACAACAGAACTTTACTGCTATGGCCCAGACATTATTTTAGAAATATTAGAGAACTGAATAAATCAGAAACCCGAGACACCCGGAAATTTTTAATTGGCAAAGTACAATTATAAAACATACATCCAACTAATCAAAGTGCATTGATAAACACACACTTTGGACACCTATTTTCTCTACTATCTGTACTAAACAGAAATGAATGCTTTAAGTGTTCAGCTAACCTTGATTTATTCAGGAATCATAGATGACCCTCCAGCAGGTTGACCTTTATGTGATGCCTATTTTCCACTGAATAGCCAAACAACAACCATGGCCTTATTTGTCTTGTAAACTCCAGATAGTCCTATGCAGCTTGTACTTCAAGTCTTGCATAAATGGTTGCATGCGAGTTCTAGGACTAATAAGTCTATATCCTCACCAAAAGCAACGGTATCTGATCCAGACCAATAACAACAATTGGTGTTAAATTGAAAATAACTTGTAAAATTACTGCTCATATAGGAGAAAAATAGAAAAGTAACTCATGAATTACATGGATTCGACTGTGCAGAATGTTTTTGTATGCAATTAAGTAGTAGAAAAGACCTAAATGTACCTCTATAAAGAGCTGCAGTAAATTACCACCACATGAGAACAGTAAAGAAGCTAAGAAAATTCTATTGGGTTCTTTCTTTTCCTGATTAAGTAGAGTAACAGGCCATCAGATTACTTTCATCCTTTCCTGTCTTCTTCGGGTACAAATTACAAGTTGTAACATATATTAAAAGGAAAAGGAAGTGACTTTCTGAGAATGAAAAACGTAGGTCCACAGAGGATTTACAGTCTGTCATACAATTACCAACTAGAAGGATCTCCTTTGATGAATATAACTCTCTTTAGAAACCGATTAAAAGTGTAACTCATAGACAATTCTTTGTTTCAGCAGGAAAGGCAATACCAGATTTCAAGCACAGCCCACTAACCCAGGACTGTCTATTGAAACAACTTATTGGGCTATAGTACTATCTTTTTGCGATAAGCCTTGTGACTAACTTCCTGTTAAATTTTTATTCCAGGTGCCAACAAAGGCAACAAAAAAGAAGCTGAAATTAAAGAGACCCTGATTGATAACAGAAAATAATATCGAACCAAATTGTATGATGCATTTTCTTGGTCAAGTGAGATCTGCAGCAAGAAACCCTTTTCTTTGTCATCTCAATCATGAATCTGCCTTAATTTTTTTCATATAATTAAATGTGTGTTTTTCAGTTTTCCTACTCTTTGCCTCAATAAACATATGGAACCTTCTCGTTACAACATACTTGCTAAGTTTATTGCCACCAAATAAATAAATAAAAATATATATAAAAGCTACCTCAACTTTCTGTTAACTCAGCTGTTCTACTTTTCAGGGTCTTATGAGAAATCCATGCACAGCTATATCAGTTGCAATGAGAATACATGCACAGACACTTAATACAAGCTAAATTAACTTGGTGTAAAGATTAAATAACAAATTTATCATTTTTTTCACAAAATATTAGCCCTGAAACATAATCTTCCTGGTTGTTTAAGTTATCAGCAATTTAGCTCTTTCAAAAGGAACTGAAGAAACATAAAAAGATTTAGCTAATGCAAGTTTGATAAGTATCCCACTTACCTTTAGATTTTGTGGCAGTATTTGAATTTGATAATAGCCAAATGATCAAGCAGAGCCAAGAATTGATGGCATAATGCATAATATCCAAATTCACTTAATCCTTCCAAAATGAGAAACCATGTTCTCTCGTGGTCATTTTCCCTTCAGGTTGATGGAAGAAATCTCTTTTGCCATCAAGTTTTTTCGGTTTATGTCTGGCTTTATTCTCTAGCTTAGTAGGGACTTCTTGACTGTCTTTCAAGTGTGTAATTTGCCTCCCATCATTTTGCTTGCCTGCTAGCCAAGCCTGAAGCATTTCTTCAATCTTAGGTTCTGGTAATAAATGTTTCTTTTTCATCTCTAGATAATATTGGTATGACTCCTCAAGCTTTCCATTCAAAAATAGTCCATTTATCAGCACAATGTAAGAGCTCCGATCATGATCAAGTCCATTATTTCTCATTTCAGTCCACAGTTTGAAAACATTATCAAGCTGGCGCCAGCGACAAAACTTTCTAATTAACATTATATATGTGTCATGGCCTGGTTGGCAACCTGTCACATTCATGCTTTGCAAGAGCGCAAACACCTCTTCCCCTGTCATCAAAATCCGAAAGAAAGCATGATAAGTCCGAACAGTAGGGGGCATGCCCTTCTCTGTCATTTCGTTAAAGATCTCTCGAGCTGCATCTATTTGACGGGTTCTACAGAGAGGCATGATCAGTGAGTTATATGTAGCAGCATTTGCTGAAATCCCATTCTCCTGCATTGTTTTCATGAGATTCCGAGCTTCCTTTACATGCTTGCCTTTAGCAAGAGCATGTATCACAGCATTATATACTTTCCGGTCAGGTGCAATGTCCAATCCTTTCATTTGGTCAAAAAGTTTGAGCAGAGATTTAAGGTTACCAAATTTTGAATAGCAAGACATCATACTAGAATATGAAAAAACATCTCTGGGAATCCCTCTAGCTTTCATCTCCCTCCAAATTCTCATTCCTTCTCGTAAATCACCAACAACATTACACCACCCATTGAGGATAATGTTAAAGCTCTTAGTATTCAAAGGAAACACACTTTTGTTACAGAAAAGCAAATACTCAGCATCTTTCACATTCTTGTAACGACAAAGGGCGGATAAAAGATCCTGGAAATCTTCAATTGTGATTTCAAATTTAAACCGTTTGTATGCATAAAAAGTATTAATTGCCTTAGCCACATCATGAACAGCACAGTATTTCCTGATCATAATCAAAAGAGTCTGAGGAGTCACAAGTGGAGTACCTGTGCTTCCACCTCTCACTCTCATTTCATCAATCAAACCCCATGCAGTATCAAACTTCCTCATTTTCCCGAGTATAGATATCATTGAATGGTATTCTCTCAAGGAATGTGCATAGCCCGGCTGCTTGCTGGCCCACAAGAAGAAAGTAAATGCTGCTTCCCAATCATTCCTCACCCGAGACAGCACCTCCACCACCAACTCAGATGTAACTGTAACTCCACAATGCTCGAGTTTGTTCTTCATCACAGACCTGCTTGTTTTCGATTCTTCCAGAATAGTCATTAAGGTTTCTACATCCCGTAAATCAGTTAAAGTGGATTTTTGACATTTGCTACCATCCATTTCTTCATTATTGTAAAGATCTTCGTCCTCATTTCCAATGCTATCATTATCATCGTCTTCAGCACCATGTCGAGAATGGGAGTCTGGGAATTTTGTGCTGGACGACCAGCTAACAGAGGAGGAAAAGAGTGGGAAAATACAGGAATTAAAACTCAAGGGATTTCTTAAAAATTGAGGACTTTGTGCGAATCGAATAGAACGCTGATGAAGTAAATCAATTGGCTTAGCAACAACTATATGTTTTGGTAACTGAGTACTCAAACTGCCGTAGGACCAAAGGAAGGAGGACGATGCAGTGAATCTTCTTCTGCATTTCCACATGGTTTTCGAAATGAACCAAGTTCCAATTTTCACAAGGATGACAAAATGAAAGAGGCGTCTTCGTGCATAAGATGTTTGAGAAAATGACTGAAAGAAGAAATGCAACTATGAAGTATAGACCCGCAAACCACTACACCTACAGGCTACAAGTTTGAGCAATCACAGCATCAACTTGCTCCTTTTTACCGAATTAGTTGTCAGTACGGACTTCATCCATCAAGCTGTGAAACCCTGGACATGAAGCCAATTTGCTGCAACATCCGGTTTGGATAAAAATAAATCGTACTTTTTATGATTTAAGGTGCCGCACGGCAGTTCTAGGAAAAACTGCAGTTTTGGTACCTAATGTTTGGTATATATGTAATTTTGTTCTCCAGTTTCGTAAAAAACAGATCTAGTCCCCAATGTTTGGCATCTATGTAATTTTAGTGCCTAAAGATTCGACACAAACAAATGTGATCCCCGGTGTTTACAATTTGAAGCGGATGAAGGAAAATTGACAGATTCTCCCTAATTATCGATGGAATATAGTAATGCACAGTCAAGTGTTCATTAAATTGAATAAAAAAATTGCAAAATTTAAACAATAATAATAACCCAGTTAATAGCATGTGAATAACTAATTAATCAGGAATTTTTTTTTTGTTAAACTAAAAAACTGTATAAGGGTTTTTTCGCTTAGGGACAAGCGGGGAAAGAAAGCAAAATGAGTTTGGATCAATAAACTGGGTACTCAAACTGGTTTCAACTTTCTAGTTTAGCAAATTTCTCACTTTTTCTTTTTTCTTGATTAATTTTTCTTAAAAAAATTTTTCTAGCCACGGAGGGTTGGAAGGTCTCAACTTTAGCCAATAGACCAATGCCTCATTGACTTTTTCTTGATTAATTGTTTACTCATGTGCCAACGTACGAATTGTTAGCTGTCAGTCTTGTTTTTTTAAAGTTAGCCAATATTTTGCTTTTCTATTTTTAGATTCAATTTAATGGACATGTGATTGTATGGTGTAAGTGATAAAATGGGAATATGGTTGATAAGTGGATCATCTTAAATGGATAGTGGATTGTAAGATGATAGTTGAAATCCGAAATGGATAGTCCAATTCTATTATAACCATTTAACAAATGGACATAAATCGATATTGCAAAACCATAATTCATCAATTCAACCATTTACTAGTTCTATGACTACTGTCTCTATGCGTTATATACTTCAGTTTCCATTTTCTATTTGGTGTCTATGTTGTGTATTGAGTTTCTTTTGTTTTTCTTTTCTGTTGAGTTTCAGCAGTGTTTTACAAACTAATTTTCTAGATTTCGGATTGTATATGGCAATTTAAAGTTTTTCCTCACACCTCTTTTGTGTTATACTCTATTCCTATTAATTAAATTAAGAATTTGTGAAAATGACTTGAATTCTATCTCTTAACACAAAAAATTTATCCCAAACTACTAGCAAGCAGAAAAGGAAATTGTAGTGATTTTTTTTTCATCTCCATGATGTGCAAAAGATTTTTCAATAAAAATTTCACACTAGTGTCGAATACAAATTTAAGCAAACTATCTTACCGAAAAAATTAGATTAAAAAAGATGAGAAAAAGAAAAGTAACTTGTAGCGACAATCTGAATCTTTTGATTTTGATGAATTTAGACTATTTAGTACTTAGCATATACCAGTAGAATTTAGCAATTAACAGGAAAAAAAGGGTAAAATGAAGTAAAGGAAACAAAAAAGAAACGATTTATCCGAAATTTTTAACAATTGAAGTGCTTATTATCAACGTTTGACTATTGCATTTGTAGTTCAGGACTTCGAGTTCTTTTGAAATTCACATCCCGTATAACCATTAAAGTTGGGCTTGTGGACCCACAAAAATAAAAGTTTCCTTATGAAATGAAGATGATCAACGTCTCTGCAATTGGGTCGGCGGGAAATGCCACTATAGGAAGAGGGGAAGGAGCTCAATCAAGAGGGGGAGTCTTTCTTCCGCGTTGGCTGGTCGCATTCCATTTCTGATAAATGGATTTATATGGATATGGATAAACAACTCAAATCTATAAATATAATTGTATTTAAATGGTCATCCATATCCATTTAAACTTGTTTATTAGGATGGATAAGTGGATATGGATTCAAATTGCCATTTCTAATTGTTGATGACTAAATTCCATAAAAAAATTGGAAAATTATCCCAAATTGTTTCAAATTGGATATTTGGGGATTAGATTTGTGTTTGTTGACATTTTAAGGACTAAAACTCCACACGTTTCAAATATTGAGGGCCAAATTTATTTTTATCAAAATTTTAGGAATTAAAACCGTACAATTATTAAATATTAAGGGCCAAAAGTGCGTTTCTCTCTAAGTTTTATTGTTTTAAAAGTCAGTGCCTTCCTAGAGACAGAATTATCCGAAAGAAGATTATGGTATAATGTAATTCGGAAGTTGGACCGCAACACTACTAGGTGTATCCGGACCAATTAAAAGTTAAAACATGACAAATTAGCAAAAGAATCTGCAGACATTAAGTTTTGACTCTTGCAAATGATCATGGGCTTTTACAATTGGTAGTTTCAATTGCGCCACACAATATGTGGATCAGCACGATCAATGTAGATTAGAAAAATCTGGGGTCAGAATATTTTGAATAGAATTTAATTGGTTAAAAAAATCAAATGGATTCAAGTAAAATAACATATAAAAAGCTAGACAAATGCCAAGAGTTGTTTCGTGATATAAATAAACTCGGACAGTCAAAAAAAGGTGCTGGATAGGCAGATTCATATGTATAATGAGTAATGTAGTTAGAAAAAAAAAAAAAAAAAGGAGAGAGTGCAGTCTTCGTCCTTGGAGCAATAGTAATTTCGTTGGCTTTACATTAGTCCCAAGATATTATTTCTGTTACATCGGTTGCAAGTTGTGAGACCCCGGATAGTCCTTAATTTCGAAATTATGTGATATTAATAGCATTTTGTTCTATTTTGTACTAAATTATTAGAAAACCCTAAATTGGATTATTTATAAAATCCTAGTTTTTGTATTAATCACAAATTTGAGTTGTAATTCATGTTTGGTAGACTAGAGTGTGTTGTGGTACAAGTAAGTATAGGATTCGATTTATTTTATATAGGTTAAGTAAGTGTAAAAGTTAGAAAACCTCAGACTAGTAAACCCTCTAGTGTTCCAATAGATTAGAAAGTTTAAGTTGGGTTTAAAACCCTAATTTTGCCAATGTTATAAAGGTTGTTGTTTAATTGTTTTTATTATGGAGAAAGTATGATTAAGTGTAGATGATTAAGTTAGTGGGGTGATTAGTAGAGAAATTAAGTAAGATTAGTTAGTTTGGATTAGATTAAGTTTAAATCCTATGGAGTAAATTGAAAGAGTTCCAAATGTTTGTGGGCAAGAGTGTAAGAAAGAGAAAGTGTTGTTGCAAGGGCTAGGAAGTAAAATCCCACCTCTTATGTGATTGGTTGTTTGAAATATCTCCTAGGGTTGATGACTAAGCTTAAATCTAGAATATTCAAGAGAGAACCAAGCTTATAAACAACAAAACACCAAAGGAAAAACAAAAGGAAAAGAAAGAGAGAGAGGGCCGAATTTGAGAGAGAAGGAAAAGAGGAAATTTCTTCCAAGTTTTCAAGTTTAGCCACTCATCTTGGTTTTGGAGCTTGAAGTAACAACATTAGCACTTGATTGTGGTAGTTTGATCACTTACAAAGCCTACTTGAAGGTAAGTTATCTCTCTTGGAAGTTAAAGTTTGGTGCTTAAGTCTTGAATCCATGAAAAGTGATGTTTTTGTTGTTTTTATGATCTTATATGATATAGATGGTGATTATATGGAGTTTAATGGTTCATCTTGGTGATATTTTGCTGCTTAAATTTCGGTCAAGCCAAGAGAAATTAGGGCTTCTTGTTATAGGTTTTCTTAGTTGATTTGGTTGGTGATTAGACTTGATAATGGAACTTTTGGTGTGATTATCTCATTTGAATGGTGGGTTCTTAACAAAAGCAAGTTTGGTTATGAAACCCTAATATCAATGGAAGTTAGTTTAGCTTGGCTTGGGTTTAGTTGGTTTGGGTTTTGAAGTGAGTGCAAAACTAGTGAGATTGGATTCTAGATTGTGGTTGGTGTTTGGTAATTTTTGTGGTAATTTGAGGAGAAATTTCGGACCGTTGGTAGGTCTTTTAGGATCTGGTATATGTAGTATTATTTGGTATAAAATAAGTTAGAAAACTTGTATAAGAATCGTAGCAATGGACCATGTGTTTGCAAAGTTCAAAAACCGGCAAAAACTGGAAACAGGGCAGTCCACAAATCCGAACTTGAGTTCCATTTTTCTTTATGCTACTTGCTGATTCAGAAGTTTCTCAAAACATGAAAGTTGTAGCCTCTTAAGTCCTTAATCTTCCTGCAAAATTTCAGGTCAAACGGATCCGTGTAGCCCAAGTTATAGCCAATACAATCTCTCCTGTTTGGAACACTGGATTGTGTTACGTTTTCAAATTTGGCCTCTGGCCATGCTCGGTTCCCCTGGATAACGTGCGAACTGGGTGTTGATCCCTTCATAAGAAATGTAGATCTTGGTCTTAGCTTCGAAACGGTATAAAGTGTATCCAAATCCAAGTTCCGTAGCTCCAGTTATGACCAAAACAAGAACAGTTTTTAGAACTGCCTTTGAATTTGGGCAGTTCTGACAGGAACTTTGGACCCATTTTCCACCCTGCCCGGTATTGATTCAGGTTTTGGCCAAAACATAAAAGTTTTAGTATTATGACATAGCTGTCTAAAGCCTTTGGAATTTCTTGATTTGGACTTGTGAGCTGTGAGTTATGGTCCAGCAAACAGACCCTGTCCGTCACCCTAAAATGCAAACTTCTGGTACTGTTTTCCATAATTTCGACCTGCTTCCATTCAGATCTAGATTAAGATGTCTTCATGAAAATTGTAGCCCTTCCTCTTATCTTCACAACGGTACCTCATGCACTTTGATCCGACACTCGTAGCTTCAATTGTGTTCAAAACAGTTTTTGACACCAAAACGGTTATGCTGCCATTTCCGTTTCCGCATGCCGTTTCCGCGCATGCATGTGCCGATTTTTCCGTTTTACTTGAGTTATGCATGTTAGTAGCCATTTGTGATATATTGTGATGCAATCTTCTATTTCAGACGGTGGTGAGATAGACGGAGCCGGTGGGTCCTATTAGCTACTATACGTGACGTGATCTTTGCTCTTTTGCTATACTTGCTTTTGTGTAAGTATTCAGGCCGTTTTGT